ATACTGTGTTATATTACTGCAGCAAAGATGTTAAAGATTTGGAAAACAAGTTAAATGCTGATCTTGTTGTGCTCTCGAGATGGTTTTATGATAACTTACTAACACTTAATATATCTAAATGTAAGTTTGTTCTGTTTGGGAGCAATCAAAGGCTTAAGAAAGTACAGGATATCAACATTCACGTTGATCAACAGGAAATTGAGAATGCAGAATCATTTAAATACCTTGGAGTGATTGTCAAGCAGAATATGTGCTGGGCTGACCATGTGGACTCTCTTTGTACTAAAGTTGCCCAAAGGATCGGAATAATAAAACATGTGAGGAAACTAATATCATTCCATGCAAGATTAACTCTGTACAATAGTCTTGTCAGCCCCTTATTCAGTTATGCAGATTTTGTGTGGGGTGACAAGAACAATGCCTGCTTGATGAATCAACTCCAAGTGTTACAGAATAAAGCAGCTAAGACCATACTGGACTTGCCTATGCGTTCTTCTGCTACGGAAGCCTTAAATGAATTGGGTTGAAAGTCGTTAGAACAAATTCGCCTGCTTCACAGGCTTACAATGGCATTTAAGTACTTAAATGGTTATATTGATATTGAACTAGACGTGAAGTTGAATAGAAACGTTCACAACCATGACACCAGAAGACGGAATGATGTGCGATTACCATTAAGTAAACGTAATTGGGGACAGCAAAGGTGTGTCTATCACATTTTTAAGGACTGGAATAATCTCGATTATTCTCTTAGAGAAATAGATTCTTTAGTGAATTTTAAACATTCTATTAGGAATATTTTTAAATAGATGCATTAACATTTAGGATTTTTTACTCTTTTTTAGTGTTTTTATAATGTAATGCTAGTCAATAGATATGAACGTTTTAAATAATGTATTATACATAGTAATTTAGTATGCAGGACCTTCATGAAAACCACGTATCAGTGATTGTAGCTTCCTGTAAAAATATTACTATAATAATAATAATAATAAAAAAAGCTAAAAATTACCAAAAATTACTAAGCTAATTAAGCTAAAAAATTACTATCCCCAGTCTTCCACCCACACAAAATTTTGATTTTTAATCTCAATGTTGCACTTCAGAGAGCCGCCTTTTAGGGTCTTTTTGATAAAACAAAGAGGTTTCACGCTATGAATATCAATTACTGGGAATTTTCCAGCTATATTGATTTAACAAGTATTCTTAGGCATAGTTTATGCGTTGCATTTTGGTTGCGTTGAATCCAATTGAAACAATAATTGAGTTGTAACCTCATCTAGCGCCATAAGATGATTATATCTATTGTTTGAAATGGATTTGTGGGACAAAAATGCAACGCATAAACTATCCCGTAACATAACTAAATAACCAGTGTTAGGTAATCAAATGTCTAACTGTTAGGAAGAACGCGACTTTCCTTTTTAAAAGTAACTAAACTAGTCCCAAAAGACCTAATGTCATACAGTCTGTGATTAATCATACATCATCATCTTCGAGCTCTGCTGCATCCCCATAGATAGCCTCGACATTAGTATACATGTCTTTGTTGCACAGATGAAGCATTTCTTTAGTGGGCTCAAAGTTTTTGCAAGACCCTGCCATATGCTTAACCCCGTCCTTAACAAACAGGAGCGATGCCACCCCTTCAGTTGATAAACGGTTTCTTTGTTTTGTTTTAATCAAATTTAACTGAGAAAATACTCGCTCACAATCAGCGTTGCTGATATGTAAGCACAACATTGCCTTCACAAATCTGCCTATGATGCAGTACTTCTCGTTGAGCGCTACATTGGCCCAAAACTCTTCGGTAGGCTATGTGGCACATTTGTCAACTAAATCTGATATTTCACTATCGAAACTCAGTTCTCTCCATTCTTGATCAAGAGTCTAAAGCTTTTCCATGGAAATTACTTGAGGGAATTTGGCAGCAGTGTCAGCGATACTTGGAATTGTTCCTGATATTGCTATCTGTGGATCCAAGAACTTTAATTTCTGCAATAGCAGGTTATCTAATGGCAATCGCTTCTTTAACTGGATGCAAAGCTCAATCAAAAATTGCTGACATCTGTGGAAGCACGTGTTGAGCATTTCTTTTCTGACATTTTTGTAGGCGTCGGAAACAAGGAGCCTTGCTACATCTGTCCCCATATAAAGTTGCGCTAGTGGAAGATGATGTGCAGGATTTCGAACATCAATAACTGCCACGTCACTTTTGAGAGTATCTGCTTCAAAAAACAACTGAGGATTGATTTATAAGCAGACACGCAATTTGAGTGAAATCTGTGAATAGCTGGTGTCTCAGACTGAAAAATCACATTTAACTTGTTTACCAGGGAAATGATGTAATTGAGAAATGCAAAGTACAATTTTGTTATGGGATTAGATAACTCCTCAAACAAGAACTGGGAGGTTTGCAAACAATCAACTAAATACTGTGAGGTGAACTACAACTTTAAAGCATCCCATTGAACAAGCAAACGCTCAACACACGACCCAAACGAAAGCCATCTGATATCATAAAACCTAAGCATTCTATATTGCTTGGACTCTGTGAATTCCTGGAACTCTTTAAATTCGTTACACCGTTTGCTGGAAAGAGCAAAATAATTGTAACATTCTTTTACAACTTGCTCTAAGTTTCGTGGAAGGAGGGCATAAGCATGAGAAACTGCCAGTGCACATGAATGGCACGCGCATTTAATAGTCAGACAATTTGGATTTTCTTCTTTTATGTGACTAGCAACACTATTGTATTCGCCAAAAATTACATTCGTTATGTCTGCTGCAAATCCAATTAATTGCATCATTTGGACATCATGTTTTGCCAAATTGGTTTTCATTAGTTCGTAGAGATCAGCAGCCGTTTCTCCTTGTACTGGAACCAAGTTTAATAATCTTGTGTCGACCTTCTTTGCATCGTCGTCAAACAGTTTAATGACGATCGCCATGCACTTAGTTGTACTTTTGTCCGTAGTTTCTTCGATGATAACAGAAACTGGACTTACTCCCATTCTCCCCATGAAGACTTTTTCTAAGCTGAATCTTGAACTCCTTGGATAAGACGTCGTATGTCATTGCAGCAGCCTTTGTGCGTTTGCATGAAAATTCACTAGCAATCGCTGAATCTTTAAATGTTCGAGATATTACAGTGGACAAGTGATCCATTAATCGAAAAGGCAAATTGTGCTCAGCGAGAAATAAACAAAATATCAATTCTGCTTTCTTCACTTCGTCGGAAAGGTTGTTTCCAGATTTAAAATATTTTGAAAGCTAAAATAGACAATGGTACATTACTCAATAGTAGTTATATTTTGCCCGAAATTAATGCGATGAATGTACCTGTGAACAACTAGCTGTTGTGCTCATAAGGGATATATGCCTTGAACTCTGGCCGTGGATGCGAATGGTGGCTAATCTTGCTTGAATTTTGCATCGGCATACTTTGCAAAAGGCAGTTTCCGCCGTCTTTCCCGTTGTTAACCACTTTGTAAATTCTGGCAACAATGCCCACTCATTTCGATAATGTTGTTTGTACTTTTTTCCACTTCTGTTATGAGTTTCGGCTGTGCCAGTGGTCTTTCTTTTTTTTGTATTTGTTTCTGTTTCAGGAGCATCATCCTCGTTGCTTTCCATTGGATTGTTGATCATTTTTGAATTTCGCTAGCATCAGCTAAACCACAACTATACACTGAGCTATATATATTGGACTTGGTGCATGGAATCAAATGCGCACGTGTTGATTTCAGTTATGCTCATGTCATGTAATTATTAGCGGTTTTAACGATTGCAATACACTTATATAAAGGTCGGTGCCAGTGGGGTAGATACAGCATGGGATGAATTTTTGAATGACAGTTTGTGTCATTACAGCAGATTACTAAAATATTACTAACTTTTAGACGAAATTACCAAAATTATTACTAAATTTACTCAATTGCCAAAAAACTCCAGAAAATCGTGAAAATCATGAAAAAGTAATTAAAATTACCAAATCTGGTCACACTGATAAGAAAACATGAAGGTTTAGGGGGGTTACATACTGTAACATATTTCTCAAACACGTGGAAAAATTGATAAAGAATAAAAAGATAAAGATTTTTTATGAACTTTAATATTTATTAATTGCACATTTTTTATGCACCTTAAAGATTGTGAAAAATACAAATATTTAATTGAGAATAACCAAGTGAAAATTAGATTTCATTTTGTTTCTTTTCTACAGAATTTTTCTTCTCAAGTTTCCCACTTTTGCCCCACAAGAAGAATTTTTGTAAGATTGGGGGGCATACCACCACACATATTCTGCATATATAATGCAGAAAATTAATAAAACCAGACATCACACCAACTCACAAAATATATATGCTTATCAATTTGATATTCAAACATGTTAATACAAGAAAATAGGATACAAACCATTATGCTCTAAAGAATCTCAGTTGCTTGTAGGAGTTGTAGCAGCTGGTTCTAAATTTGTCTGAACTAAAAGTAAAATAGTTCTTTATATTGTTAATGCAACATCAAACTGCATGCATATGCATTTATGGTAAACTAGGATTTAATACTGAGACTATGCATCTGAAAGCAAAAGCTCTTGTTGATATTGAAGAGGAAAACGACAAGGTATCAGTGTTTTAGCCAGGATTTCAAAACTGGCCGTCCAAAATAATTTCGTTGCCGTGGTCACATAGTTTTGTGATGTATCGCATGTACATGTTCTTGCAGGCAGTTGTTTAATAGTTGTTGTGGTGTTCTATTCATTGAATTGAACGTTTAAACTCTTAGGTGTACATGTCCATCACTAAATTAGTAAAAGCACACACGAAGAGCGCCTAACAACAATTAGTTATACATTTTATCAATATCAATCACTGACCAGAACGGAATTCTAGTGATAAAGAACTAACAAACTTATATATTCCTATAGATGTCTTAATCTACAATAACTTATTTGAATATGAAAAAACAATGTTTGTTGCTTTATTTCAGTTATTTATCTAAATTCTGTGAGGGTTTTGACAGAAAACAGCACATGCTGCCTCGTAATCCATATCCTCGATTGGTATTCCACAGTAACTAAGCCTGATCAGTTTGTCTAGCTGATTTATAGTGAGACGAGTTCTTGACTTGGTTTTAATACGATTCTGACAACTGAATACTCTCTCAGCTTCAGCGTTACCAACCATCAGACACAAGCATATACACGCAAGTTTAAACATGACAGGCAGGATTGTCTGATTTGCCAACATGGTCCCACCAAACACTTTCTTTATAAGTTCTGGAGGTGTATAAAAATGCCATTTATCTTGTTTGGTTGTGCTGTCGCGCTTTTTTTCACCCAGGTTATTGTATACTAACCGTTTGAATGGAAGAAACTCACCCATGCAGGCAGTTGGGTCAATCATTGCTTCATACTCCACGTTTTCGTCATTTGTTGCTGGCTTACCATAGTGCTCGAGAAGAGTTGCTAAATGTTGATTACCCCATTCAATCAACTGGCTTTCAGCAGGATACGAGGCTGGCTCAAAAACTTGCATCGCTGTCAGAAGTGCAATCTTTGAAAAACGTGCTCTCAGATTTTCAAGGAGCTGGTTAAGAAATTGGAGTCTTACTTGCTGAAATAGCGTATTTTGTCCAGGTTGTCCGCGTTTAGCTTCATAGTTTATTGTTGTCCCTTTAAAACTCCCGAGCAGTTCTTCTGTAAGCTCACTCTCCATTGCTGAGAGCAATGGTCCATTCTTCTCGCGAAGTGCTTCCAGTGTTGCAATGCAATCGCCCAATTTTTCACGAAGTGCGGAAAAGCAAACATCTCTGTACTGAAAAATTCTCGACAAGTGATTAGTAACAGAAAGTACATCTGCGGAAAGGTGGATAAGGGCGAGAATAAGCAATGAAGACAGCTGCTGATTGAGGCCAATCGCAATAGGATCACCAAGAAGACCTTCTGAGCTGGTTAACATTAACAGAGCTTCATAATTCTTTATTATTGCGCAAACTGCATCACCCATGCTAAGCCAGCGAATCTCATAAATTCTCCTCAATTTTATGTTCTTCTGCTCAAGAAGCTCGTTCAACTCTCTGAGCCGCTCTTCTCTCCGTGGTGAACTACTGATATAGTTAAACACCCCACTTATAACAGCAGTCAGACTTTGCATCTCTGGGATGTTTTGGCATGCTTGGCTGACAGCAAGGTTCAGGCGATGGCAGATACAATGTATGCAAATACAGTGCGGATTATCTTCGTGTATAAGTGCACGCACTCCATTCATGTGGCCAGTCATAACCGACGCACCATCCGTTCCAAGCCCGCAAACTTTTGTCATTGGTATTTTTTTACCGGATAGTATGTCTTTCGTTACTGAATAGATCCCTTGTGCAGTACATTCTTTGACCTTTTCGCACTTCAAGAATGTAGTGACAAGTTCAGCTCGTTCTAGATCTACGTATCTAGCAACAACAGCGATATGTTTCTCATTGGATCTATCCATACTCTCATCGATTCCAACCCCTAAGCAAGGACTTTTCTGGATATCTAACTCGATTTGCCGCTCTACTACTTCGTTCAACGCATACAGAAGTTGATTAAAAATATCGGGACTATTATAGCCAGCATTGCTTCCAAGATAAAGGTTCTGGATATCTTTGCATCCCTGTAATTTTTGAAACTCTATTAAACTTTTGTACTTTCTATTTGCAATTTCCTCTTTTACTATCCAATATACTGTTCGCAAAGCAGCTACGATAACGCTGTTTCTCTTTTCCTGTGATGCAGCAAAAGTGGAAGGGAGTGATTTCTGACTGGGATCTACTGATTCTACTGCTTCTTTGTGTTCAACACTCTTTAGGTGGACATGTAATGATTTCAATCGAAAATTTTTTGTACCGTTTACCCAAGGGCCCTTTGACTTGTCGTGTTTTTCACAAATGGTACAAAACATCAAATTCAATCCTTCGTCATATCTCAACCATGATCGATATTTTAGTTTCCACGCTAAGGGGAATTTGCTCTCATTGGGTTTTCTCTTTTTACTTGGGCCTGGGCCAGGACCAGGTTCAATCTTTCAGTGCACAAAAGATAAAAAAAATTAATAGCAATATTAGCGTGTTTACATGTACAGACTCCACTAATTAGTGCCACTAAAGATGTGTCAATATTTCAATTAATTAGCTACATACATTGTACATATGCGTGCGTGTCAGCGTGTGCATACAATATCTATACAAATATAATATAATTATAGAACTAAATGAAAGATGGTACATATGTCGTAAAATCTAATCGGTATTTTTCCGATAAGGGGAAAAATTTTCCCCTTATATATTAAAGTAAGACGTACCGGGACTCCTGGTTGTTCATCTAATTGAGGTTCTTCCTCCTCACTCGGTTCACTGTCACTGTTACATCATTGCCTTGTTGCAGAGGTAATTCTTTTGTTCGTTTTACAAAAAAGCTGGCGATATCTTTTACACATTTGTGCGTTTGGCTCATTTTATTATTTTTATATAAGCCATCTCTATCGTAACTGTAGGAGCTTGGGCGATTGCCATTTTAACAGCAGTTTCAAAATAATCTTGGTAATACTTCATGTGAGAATCAACAAAATGGTTCCAAAAACATGGCGTTGTTCTCCGCCTCAATTCTGTCTTATTCAGTGTGTTTTCGACGGGAGAACATCAAAATATATACCATAAGTAAGGAAAACGGCACTACGGCAGATGACAACTTTTCGAAGTATTTAAGAAGTATCAGATAGCTTGTTAAGTGCTATTTAAATAAAATTTTCCCTTAGGGCGTCCATGCCCGTCCATTAAAATATAGCCGTCCAAATTCAGAAGTGGCCGTCCATAGGACGGTTGGACGGCCGCCTGGCTAAAACACTGCAAGGTATTAAAGTTATTTTAAATTAATTTTTACTTTAATTGTATTTACTAGTATTATACGTTTTAATGTTATAAAGAATGAGAGAGTGATACTGGAGTGTTAGAGCTTGTTGTGAATAAACTCATATTTTTAAATTATACTTTGTTTTCATTATTTTTATCAATAGAACAATGTTCTGCCCATGACTCCATCAATTGACCTTACCACAAGCATGAGATTTTCACAAATTTCAGACCAATTTGTAATACCCTATGAAAAACTTATTCCTGTGCCTCTCAAATGAGAAATGAAGAATGCGTGGAAAGTTGTGAACAGAAAGCTATTGGACTTGGGAAGGGGAAATGTAATTACCAGTCAGAGATAAGTATCCTAACAGTGTTGATGCTCTGCCCCACAACTTACCATTTCCAGAGAGACTGTCTATCAAAGTGGAAGCTGCAATGAATAATGGATCTGTTGTCCAAAGTTGTCCATTTTCATATCCGGATTGTAGAAAAATCGGACAATGTTTTGGTTTGAATTTCATTGTTTATATAGTACTGTAGCATAGTATCATACTCAGTGGCGTAGCCAGCGCACCAAGATTTGGTCATGCTCTCGGAGCTGAGCGCCGAAGGCGCGAGGCAAATGTGTAAACGGGGGGTCTGGAGGCCCTTCCCCAGGAAATTTTGAAATTTAGACTCCCGCAAATGCGATTTCCAGCAATCTGGAGAACCATTTAATGTTTCATTTTCTCATTTACTGACCTATTTTATAAGCTAAAATTTTAGTGTAATGACAGTATTGTACATCAAAAAAAGTTAAGCATAAAAACAAAGGCTGTTTCGCCCAATATCAGGGCTCATCAGCATGTTTAGGAAACACCAATAGTCCAGCAGCGTAGGTATGTGTGATTCCAACATGGACAGCCATCTGGTTTTTAGGCGCCAGACCCTTGCCTTCACACCTCACCACAAAAGGAGTTTGGTTAGAAATGGGTGACCATTTGGGATATTTCATGGAGATGAGATTGCTCAATTTCTCATCCCATCCCAGTCTTCTTCTAACCCTTTTACCCCCCACCCAGCTTCTTACATTAGAGAGAACCTAACCTAAGGGAGAGGGCTTGATCACACTTGATTGAAAAAAAACAGAATAATACATTAATACTAATAACAGTAGACCAATGATTGATGTTCTCTTGGTGACCTCCAGGGATAGCCTAGGTTTAGCCTAAATGTTTAGCTAGAACTAATAAAGCTATCTAGTATGACTAGCAGTAGTAGTATAAAACCTGACCCATGAGGGAATAGAGGGATCACCCTTACTAGAGTTACAGAGAAAAGTTGGTTGACTGGTTGACTAAATCAATCAGTTGTTATACCACATTTGATGCTAAGTTGTTTGAAGACTCTGCCACACTGCTCCCTGGTAATATATTAAAAAAGATGGAGCTATTTAATATAATGAGTAGTCATATAACAGAACAATGAAGGATGGACACATAAGATCCAGAGCTTCACCACTGACAAGTAAAATCATCTGGCATTTGTGAAGAAAAAAATTAGTAGGGCAGACTGGGGTGAATAATTTTAGTTATTTGTATTTAAAATTAAGCCTTCTTGGTTTCTCAATGAACTTTGTGAGTATGGCACCATGCAGTTCCTTTTTGTCTTCTTTTTCCTTCAAAATATGGGTATTCTGCATAATGATCCAAGACGGTCATCCCCCATGGTATTTCTTAAGTAGGTTTTCACTCGTTTCAAACAAGAAAAAGATCTCTCAGCAGAGGCACTGGAGACAGCCATAACACCATTCAGCTTGAGTAACTTCACAACTTCTGGGATACAATGCTGAACATTTATCTGATAAATATACTCCAAAACCTCTGTGGTGTTTTCTTTTAGAAAGTCTGTATCTTGATAAACAAAAAGAAGTTGACTCTGGAGTTTCGGAATATCAAAGAGAGGGCCATATTTACTGACTAGCTGTTGTATTTTATCATTGGGGACACTTTCTTTCCACTGAACAAACACTTTTCGGTTGACTAAATCAAAAAAGGAAAAGCTCTCAGCATCTCTAAACCTCTCATTGAGCATACCAACAATACAATCAATAACCTCACAGTGAAGTTGTTTAAAATTTACTTCCCTCTCTGTTCTTCTGTTTGGAGAACCAGCCCTACTTTCAGCAGCAGAGTAACAAGCTTCAAATGCAGTGTCATTGCGAAGGTCATTGAGGAGAAAATCAGCAAAAGCTTTGATCTTTCGAATACCATAAGAAAAATCAGTTGACCTGTTTTGAAGGATATCATATAAAATAGCAGATTTTTCTAAAATTTTATGATAAAGTTTTAAAAGAAAACAAAAAAGAAATGACTCAAGGTAGTGAAGTAGACCATCAGCACGAGTAACAGTCTCATCTGTCCAATTTCGAGGATTTTCACTAATCTCAGTGAAGGCTGTAAAAAGAGCATCAAAGTTACTAAAAATATACGAAATGGCCCGTGATTTATAATACCACCTAGTTTCTCCAGGGTTAGGGATATCAAGGTTATGAGACCTGAGGTGGGAATTTCTTTCTGGACTAGATCTACCATAAGTACAGAATGCAGAAACATTAGCAAAAAAAATTTTCACATGTTTAATATTTAAAGCAGACTGGCACAAAACTAAGTTAAGTCGATGTGCAGCACAGTGAAAGAAAAATGCATAAGGGTAAACCTGTTGTAATATAGCTTGCAGGCCATTGATATGACCACTCATGACAGATGCGCACCATCATAGGTCTGCATCACAAGTTTGGGTATTATTGAATCCCAATACTTAGCAAGAATACCTTTGACAACCTCACTGATGCCTTGGGCACTTCGGTCAGTGCTCACATCTTTAAACTTCAGGAAGCATTCTACAACTTCACATCCTTTATCAAATCGGATAATGGCGCTAAGCTGGGCTTTTGCTGAAACATCTGTGGTTTCATCTACTTGAAGACAAAAAAACTGGCATTCTCTAACTTCTAAGTCAATTTGGTCCTGAATCACAGAATCAATACATTCAATCAAATCATTCTAGACATCAGGAGAAACACCAGTGAATACCCTTCCATGGTCAGGTCTCTCTGCCGCCTCAAGCCTGCAATGCAGGCGACGGTCAAATACTGAATCTAACTTACCAAAACATTTTAGTAACTCTCTATAATTTCCCTTGTTGAGACTCTCACTAGACTCATCATGACCCCTAAATGCCATCTCTTGCTTAGCTAGGTACAAAACAGCCTCCCCAATATTCTTTAGCATCTCTCTATTTTGGCTTACCTCTTCATTGTACCTTTCCACGGCTTTTCATCTTGCCCTCGAAAACAACACATCGACACTCTCCCGAGAATCAAAAACTTTCCACTGCTTGTAAGCCTCTAAATGTGCCTTCGTATTCTCGTGCTTCTCACAATCTACGGTATAGCTATGCATATTATGGTAGCCAGTAAGTGCCCAAGTAGTAGACTTACGTGGTTGAAAGAGAAGACACGGCCAGCAAAACAAGCGATTCTTAGTTGCACTACCACACAACCAATCTCTCTTCCAATACCAAGACTCCTGAAAGTTTCTGCCCTTCGTCTTGATCGAAAGCTTTGTTTTAGGCGGCGAGTTACGAACGATTAGCTTTTGCTCGTTTATATTTCGCGATGAAAACGATCTTTCTAAAAGATCAACTACGATATCTCTGTAGCCAGTGCTCTCAGGCTCAGCCAATACGGCTGGTTGAACTTCGTCAACATCCATATTCATTAGACAAGTAAAACACTTTGGCCCGTATTCAAAAAGCTCACTCACACTCAAACTCATTGAGTGGGAGATCTTAATCTGCCCATAACGTTTCAATGGCGGTATTTTCAGCCGAACAGGGGCTTGATTTTCAGTGATTTACCTTATATCTTTTCATCTATTGAGAGAAAACTTTCTCATTGATCAGCATTAACAAAATTTATATGTCACACTCAATGAGTGTGAGTGTGAGTGAGTTTTTTGAATACGGGCCTTTGTCTGAACAATGAAGTATGAATACTATGAATACTAAACAGCATGAGCGAACTCATGCGGTCGTGCAAGAGCATGACTTGAGCATGACTTCCGGTGGGCATAAGGCGCAATATCAGCCAATGAGAAGCTTCAAATCTTCGCCCAAGTCATGCTCTCAAGCGTTGAGCATGACTTTGTGCGGGCAGCCCTCCCTGGAGTCATGCTCACATGGCCTGCAATCAGGTTATCCAAATATCCTGTTCACAGGCTTTCAGACGCCTGAAATTCAGGCCCTGATTCAGGTAGTATCGGCAGATCGCTGTTTAAAATGGCCAAAAAGTTTAAGAATACAGGCCCCGCGCCACAAAGCAATTTGCTAAACTTTAGAATATCTTTTGATTACTGAAAAAAAACCTAGCTTTGCATTTTTTCTGGTCATGCTGAGCATGACAAGCATGACCGCTAGCTACGCCACTGATCATACTAACTCTCCTGACGAAGGCCCTCAGGTAAAATGTTGAGAAGTGATTTGTCTATTTTAGGCAGTTGTCATACCAGATTTTATGCTAATTACTAGGAGTTACTATCGCAAGGAAATTGCTGCCTTAAC